TTACCAAAAAATACGTGTAAAACGGATTATGCAGATAAAGTTCATCAATCTGTGCCATTTCATAAACTTTGGCTCTATGTATAGTTTGTAATTAAATATGTACATGGTGTACCCAATGTTTACTCACTTATCTTACTGGAAATCAGCCTAAATCTAAAAAGGTGTGATTGAATACGATACTGGAGTCTCAAATGGAATGAAACATCCACAATGGTAGCTAAAAAGCATATAATCTTTATTTCACATTAAAAGTACTTTGTTTTTATAAATCTTTAATGCAGTTAGATGACGCGGATAAGCACCATACTAATGCATGAGAATTATAAATTTTTAGAGGATCCCTTGAACTGACACTTTCTCACCTCATTGGTAGAAACTAAGACAACTCCATGTGTCTATTAGTTAGTGTAATGCACTTTACTCCATTAACCCAAGAAAAAAAAAAAAAATATTTTTCTATTTTAATATGACACCAGCAAAATAGGAACAGCTCCTATTGAATTTTTAATAACCAAGGTCAAAGTTAATGGGTCACATTCTCAGTAGGAGATCATAGACTTCTATAATTCATCTTAAATGTAATATAAAATCTATTTGAAAAGACTGGAGCTTGCATGGAAGATTATGGTACCAATTGAACCAAAAATTGGTTATTGTAGCACGTCTTTTTTAAATTTATCATTTAAGTTTGGACTGACCTTGGTAAAAATATTGACATGAAACAATTTCTTTCCATTCTTTGATAAAAATTGTCACAACTACGATTTTATATTTCTTTAGAGTAAAACACACATTTTCAAACTCTGAAATTAAATAGGTGCACATAAAATAAGTAATGTTTTCGATAAAATGTAAAAGAAAAAAAAAAAAAAAAAAAAGCCCAATATACATACATCAATCAAGGTCAACAATTATCAGATGTGTGCAGCAACCACTGTTTTTATGTCACAGACACATAAAAGCCAATTGGAAGAAAACTGCATTGAGTCCCCTCATTATAGAATAGGTCTAGATAAGCCAGTTAAAGTATAAGTGCACTTTTAAAATACACCTAAGCTTTTTAAGCGTACCTTTTAATGGGCATAATAATGCTCCATGCCTTCATAACAGAAAATACAAATCTAAGAGCCTATGACGTCAAAGGAGGACAATGTATGGAGGAGTCAAGCTCATCGATTGGCATGGCTGTGTCAAAGGTATCCTTAAAAGGTTATTTTTAAATCTGCTCTTAAAATCTAAATTTTTTGTGGTAAACTCCAGAACATTACCCCATTCAAGATACCAGAGCTAAATGTAATACTTGTACTTTGGGCCTATATATATGCAAGCAAAGGAAGTTCGTAACAACCTTCATCTTTTTCCTGTTGTTCCCAGCAAACTGCCAGAAACAATTAGCAGTCCTCTCAGTTTACATTTCCTGTCTAAGGTGAAGTAAGTAAGCTAAAGTGTTTCTAGAGAAAAGTTCTTAATCATACAAAGAAGACTTGTAGGCTCTCTGCATCTTCTCCCCTTTCCTCAAGGATTTCTTTTTTTTTTTTGCTACCTGCACAGGTACTAGGTAATATTGGTATTGAAACTAATTTATCAGTCTAAAGATTGTTTTCTAGCATCATACTCCCATATTGCCATCATCCAGTGCTCTAAGGTCAGTTATTTCTTAAGTGATGTGATTGGTGCTAGTCATCATCCCAAACTTTAATTTTCAAAATAGATCAGAAAACCTATTATACCAAGCACTGGAAATGTAACATCTGCTGTAAACATCTGCAGCAAGTGACCTCATATGCTACTTTTTGAAACGTTTACTATGATTCAGGACTGTACTGCAATTTTTCCATTCAGAAAAATAAACGCAATTAAAAGATTTTTTTTTTTTTTAATTAAAAGGTGCACTTATTCTTTAACAAAACTACACATTCTTATCAGCTTAAGTGTAAAATAGCTTTGAAGCAGTTTAAGCAACACTGGCAACCCTTGTACAGCTTTACACACAACATCTCTCAACCTGGAGCTGTGAATTCTAATACACTAGCCTTTGGAATGACAAACAAAAATAATTTATCCAACTTCTAAAACCTCTCCCATGGTGTTCCTGTAACTCAAAGCAGGACCTTGGGATTAGCTTATTCTCATTTCTTTATGTACTCCTTTCTGCATACTGGTGGTGCTTGCTGAAGAATTACCAATATCCAAATATTGTCAAAGACAAACCAGACATACCACCAGCAAAGGTATGCAATCTTAGGAACTGTTAAATGTTCAGATATCTGCACCTCTGCAATGTAAGCATCGACATAATGCTGAAATACCCTGATTTTGCAAGGCATTTGGGGGGGGGGGGGGGGGGGGGGGGGGGGATAACCGATTACTTTAAAAGGACAATACATAGAAAACAGAGGTGTTAAGACATTAAAAAAAGTACTTATGCCAACAGTAAAAAGTAAACAGATAACCTGCATGTCCCCTGAAAACAAGCGAACATAATACACAAAGTAATTTCTGCACTCAAATCTTTGGGATTGCTGCTAGCGGCTGTCACATCAGCCTAAGCATCATTTAAACCAGGAGCAAAGAAAGCATTTTAGGTGAGGCCTCAGTCACTAATGTTTATTGTTAAGCACAGCTGAAAAGAAGCTTCAGTTTTGGCTGCTTATCAAATGCTCAACTGCAGGACAATCCAACATTGCATGTGAAAACTAAGAGCACTATGCCTCATTATATAAAGAGGTTGCTACCTTCAATAGAACACTCCAGATACTGAGGGATCATGGCTAGTATGGGTTGAGTTGCTCATACCCTAAGATAAAATGTACAAGTGTCTTGGAGTGCTTGCAGCTGTAATGACTATTCTTGCAAGACTCAGGGCCATAAACATTGCTTTTCTATAGGTTGACAGTTGACAAAACTCAGCAGTGGTATGACAGGATCCATGCCCAAAAGGTGACAGCTGCTCAAAACAAAGAGGGTGTTTCAAACTCAAAGCTGAAGGCAATTATATACCTATTAAAACTGCCCATTGCTAAAATCAAATATCTATTCTTTTCTTATAAATGAGGCCCAGTACCACTGCTCATGGAGACATCACTTGAGTACCCAACCAAATAAATAAACATTGCTTGCAAAATGTTCCAACATCACTGTGGTTTGCCCAGGAATTAAACTGCACAATAAATCTGTATATAAAAGAAAGAAAATAAAAACCAATGTAAAGATAAAGCCACTCTTTGGAAAGTTAGTTTTACCTTTTCACATTTCTCAATGTGAAACTGACAACCTTCATATATCCCCATCCCACCCTCCCTTTGCTATCAAAATTGTACAGATTACAAGTGCAAAATTAGTAGATCTAGAAAGAATTTTCAAAACTGAATATATTTTATTAACATTTTCACATAAATATTGCTAAGAACCTCAACTATTTTTTATTTTTTTTTTTACAAAAAGCCAAAACTACCTACAGCGTTTCTCCACCTTCCTTGAACATGTTCTATGCAGGCAGAGATGCATATTGGGTGTTGATCACCTATATGGCTTTATTAACATCTTCTTGGTAGACAGTAATGTGTGGTCATAGTGGACATCAGATGCACCCTTGATGAGAAAGTAAAGTATCTGCTGTACACAAAGATGACAGCAAATTGCGCATAGGTCTAAACGCGAGAACGTACCTCGGGCTGAAGTTACTCATCCAAAATATTTGCCAGCTTCAAAGAAAACTCTCGATGGAGAGCGCTTGAAGAGTCTACACTACTACTGACAAACATGCCTGCCACTTGTCATTTCAATGTTCTCTTTAAGAGTGCCTTCTGTTCTTGTATGCCAACTAAAAGCTTTTAAAACAGTAAATGTCAAGGTACTGCAAACCTCCACTTCAGCAAAGGTTACAAGAGACTAAATGTTAAAATACAAAGCCTGCCAAAGGCATGTTCCTCCGTGCCACCCAAGACAGACACTGTGGGTGGAAAAAAAAAAAAGCATTAGAGGAAGATGAACTCCCCCCAAAAGTCAACTAAGGGCACATCCCTTTTCATTTACATTAGTCCAAGATGACACCTGAGATGGACCACGAGAAATATAAAAATAGATCCCTATTTACTAACTGGGCACGTACTGTACAATTGAGCTATTGACAAAAGCACTTCCAATTGTATTAGTGCTCTGGCACACTTAAAAAAAACAGGGTCTACCAGCCTGTCTTTTGGAATTTGGTGCTGCAGAGCTCTACAAGTTTCACAACATAATTACTTTAAGGTATCAATAAGTCTTAAATTAACAAAGGAAATAAGGGAGGGAACATATACAGAAAATACATTTTATGAAAAAAACTTATGATTGGAGCAGTCTAATAAAATTTATAAAATGGAGTAGCTGAGGAAAAAAAAACTATTAACAGTATCCTAAAAAATACATTTATCTCTTGTACTTTTGGAAGCATTGAAAGCCTATTAGAAAGCAGGAAGGTGGGGGGGTGGGAGAAAAGAAAAACACAAAAAGCAGCTCATTGTCCAGATGTTTTTTTTTTAGCCTTCACCCAGGCTGAGCAGTCAATGTACCTGGCTGGCATAGAATGCAGTATTCGATAGTAAACAGCAGTTGCATGAACAGCAGCAATTTTCCATCAATTTTTAGATTTTTTCCCTTTAACTGGCCATAACCAAATTCTACTTGAGGAAATACGCAGTGAAAACCCCATAGAATTCTATAAAAACGCAAAAGAATCGAAATACTGCAAAGATTACAACAGCCGGGTCACTTATCCATCTAGAGAATCTCTGGTCCTTGGAATTAAAAGCCGCTGTATGCTCAGCTAAAACCTGGTTGTTATGGCAAACGTATGCTCAAACTGCAAAAATCAGAGTCCTGTTTGCCATTTCCATGTAAGTAGCACATAATCTGCACACAGTGCGTCTTCAGGGATTTTAACATGAGTTGTATATCCAGCATTTATAAAAGTCTGTTGATAATGGTGCATTCTAGCAGTGATCCAAATAATCAATGACTCTTGAGATGGACTTCTGGCCTGTTGTTCCCACTGCACACTGTAAGAGAAAAAAGGGAAACATAAGTTATTGGGTGCTATTAATTAACAACCTCACTAACTAGACAAAGCTGTTAATAATGGTATTGTATACAGTGGACTTTTCCCAAAACCAATATATTCAAGGCATGCCATGAATGATTTGTTACATTTGTTTGTTTATTCAACTGAGCTGTCAAGACATCAAATGTCTGGTGTCATAGCTCATTACATGGGCAAAAACCATGCAGATCAGAGAGGCCAAGATGGTCACTTCCTTTGCTGTAAAAGGATAGGAGGGCTTAGCTTTGCTCTAAGAATGCTTATTCAGCATCAGGAAAAAGAGGAATTTTAACTTACCAGTAAATTACACATCTTACGCACAGGATACAGGCAAAGTATTCATAGACTCTGGGTTATGTGCTCAGAGCTTAAAGGATAAGTTCACCTTTTGGAACATCTTATATGTTCTACCAGTTTTTATGGTGGAACATGTAACATGTTCCCATATCTGCAGCTGTGCCCGCCGCCCCCACCTCCCTCTGATAGATTTGAAAACAGTGTGGTGGTGCGGGGCTCCACCCACATGGCTGTGTCATGCATTCACAGAGATCTGTGAATGTGTGCTTACAAGTCCCATATGGCAAGCAATTCTGACAGATCTGCAGGAGGCCTGCATGGCATCAGCGATCTACTGATAGTTCGTACAATGCTTTTCAGGCTCCTTTGGACAAAAATAAAATGCACATTTTTTTTTTTACCAGTCCTTTAAGGTAATTTGTCACTGGCAAAGATTTTGAAGATATTCCAACTGGGTGCCTCCCCTAAAAACACTACCTGACTTGGTGCGTCCTCAGTTTTGTAGCAATACAGAGTAACCAAAGAATGGAATGGAGGGTGGCCTGTGTCTTGTACTGTAGTCCAAGATATGGAATTTACAGGCAAGTCAAAATCTCACTTATCTTAACGGTACAGGACACAGGCAAAATTATTAATAAACCTTGGGACGTTCCCAGGCAATGAATGAGAAGGGTGGGCAATAACTAAATAAATAGAACTGCACAAACAGGCCCAACAGACTTAACTTCAAGGAACCGCTGCAGGAACCTTGCGACCATACATGGCAACCCCAGAAGATTGGACATCCATCTAGTAGAACTTTGAAAAAGTATAAACAGAGGACCAAGTGGTAGCCTTACATAGCTGGGCTACAGAGGCCTAGTTCAGGAAACTCCCTACTGTTATGGTGGAATGGGTGCATAAAATTGCAGGAAGAAATTTTCCTCAAAAGTGTAAACTTTAGCAATCAGATTTCTAATCCATCTCGCAGTGCTGGACTTTGAAGCAGTGTGCCTTGTGAGGTTCTTAGGACAGGATAAATATGGAATGTGTCCATCTGATAAAAGCTGTAAGATGCTAATGACTCACACTACATCCTGGCAATGAAGAGAGATTTTCTTTGGAAGGTTTAAATCAGGGCACAAGTATGGTAGGACTATGTCCTCATTTAGGTGGAAAACTGATACCACCTTGGGAAGAAAAGATGGTCTTGGGTGTAAGACAACCTTAACTTTGTGAAGCATACAGAATGTCTCCTAACAGGAGATAGAAGCCAATTCAGACACATCTGACAGACGTGTTAGCAACCAAAAAAAAGCTACTTTGAACTAGTCAGGATTATTCCCTTAGATGATCTGTCCTGCAAAGGGTGGTTTCTGTAGGGCAAAGAGATCCAAGTTAAAACCCCAAGAAAGCACAGGGTGCTGCAATGTAGGTTTAATGCAAGATACACCTTGAAGAAATGTTTTTACAAGGGGGGTGGAGCAAAGTCAGAGGTCTTTTAAATAGAATGGAGAAAGCCAAGACCTGTCCTTTCAAGGCCTTAAATGGTTCTGGTTGATTGTAGGAAGGCCAAAATGCGAGGCACAGAGTAACCTCTGGAGTTTAAGTGCCTATATTCACACCAAACAAAAAAAAAAAAAAAAAATTCTTGATTTTAGCAATAGACACAGACCTCTTTATCTTTTAAGACCTGGGCTTCAACAGAAATGCCATTAAAGCCAGGGACTAAAAAGCAAGATGGAATAGAGAGCCCTGAAATAGCATATCTGGCCTGTTGGAAAGAGGCCAGGGGTCATCTGCTTGAGGTCTGAGTATTGTGTGTACCAGGTTCTTCTGGGCCTGTTTAGCGCAATTTAAAAAAAAAAAAAAAAAAGTTTTCTGCTTGCCATTTCATTTTGAGCAGACAAAGCAGAATTCACACTGGGGGGATGGTCTAGATTAGCCTGAATTTAGCAAAGTGCTGCACATAAATCTGAAATAACCACAATGAAACTTATTTAAACAAATGCAAACCAACAATTACACGTGATATTACTACATTTTACATAATATATTACAGTGGGTATAGAAAAAAATCACCCCATCAAAATAGTCACATTTTGTTGCTTTGCAGCCTGAAATGAAGACAAAGTTTTAGTTTTATCCAGCTGGATTTACTCAGTGCAACATCCAAGTGAAAGATAGAACACCAAGTCAGAAAAAAAAAAAAATTCAAAAACCGAAAAAGGATCACTCTCGTGTCAGTATTTTGTTGAACCACCTTTTGCTTTAATTACAGCCTTTAGTCTGTTGGGATATGTCTCTACTAAGATTGCACATCTAGACTTTGCAATATTTGCCCAATCTTCTTTGCAGAACTGCTCAAGCTCAGTTAAATGTGATGGTGACTGTTTGTGGACTGCAGTCTTCAAGTCATTCCACAGATTTTCAATGGAGTTTAAAGGATAAGTTCACCTTTGGAACACGTTACATTTCCCACCCATTTTCAGGGTGCAAAATTTAACATGTTCCCATAGCCACAGCTGCGCCGGCCGCCACCCCTCCCTCTGACAGACAGTACAGGGAAACTTCTCTCCATACTGTCAGATTTGAAAACAGCGTGGCTATATGGGGCTCCTCCCCACACGGCCGCTTTACTCATTCACAGTGTTCTGTGAATGAGTGCCTACAAGTCCCAACAGCCTTCAGCCACTGTGCTTTGGCTCATTGTCATGTTGGAAGGTAAAGCATCTTCACATTGACAACTTTCTGGCAGAGGGCAGCAGATTTTCCTCAATTTGACAGTAGTGTTTTGCTCCATCTATTTCGCCTTCTATTCTGATAAGTGCTCCAGTCCCTGCTGCAGAGACACGCCCCATAACAGGATATTATTCCCATCTCCATGCATTACTGTAGGAATGGTTATTTGGATGGGGAGTTGTACTGGATTTCTTCCAGACATATCGTTTAGTGTGGACACCAAATCGTTCAATTTTAGTCTCATCTGATCATAACACTTTATTCCATGCAGCCTCAAAATCTGTTTTGGCAAAGCTCAGTCATGACTGCATGTGGTCTTTCTTGAGGAGTGGCTTTTGTCTTGCAGTTCTCACATACAAGCCACATTTGTAGAGAATTTGAGATATTGTTATCACATGCACACAATGACCACACTGTCAATTCCCTGCAACTGCTTCAGAGTTGCTGTAGGCCTCTTAGTACCCTCTCTGACCAGTTTCCTCCTGGTTCTCTCATCCAGTTTGGAGCGTCGTCCTGATCTAGGGAGGGGGGTCTGTGCTGTACCTAGTACCTTCCTCTTGATAATAGACTTCACTGTGCTTCTAGGCATTGATAAAGCCTTTGACTTTTTTTTTTTTGTATCAATCTCCTGACTTTGACAGTGCCTTGCTACCCATAGTTGATGGTTTGCTTCGGTTGTACCAGGGACTAAAATGCTTCAGGAAAGCGGTTTCCATGCTGAGCTAATCAAAATGACCACAGCTGATAACAGTTGAAAATCAAATAGCTTTGTGTGCCATTGAGAAGGTAACTAGCTACCTGTCCGAGTTTACAAGTAATTTTTAGGAAATGTCTGCGTTATATCTTTAATTTTGATGTTATAAGTTGCACTAAGAAAATACAGCTGGAAAAAACAAAAACAGTCTTCATTTCAGACTGCAAAGCAAGAAAATGTATTTTAAAAAGGGAGGTGATTCTTTTCTATACCCACTGAACATGAGTTTTAGTTACTTTTCACCACACCCTGTGCTCCGTCACCAGCTGCACCACCTGCTCACCTTACAATATTGACCTATATTGAGTTGCACCCCTCGTGATCTAGTTTTTTTCAATCCATGACCAAAGACACTAGGGACATGACGAAACACATCAGGGTGGAACTACATTACATCATGCACGATGAAGTGAAGTTTCTTTCTATGAGGAAATGCTATTAGTTCTTAATGCATTTTTAAAATGGTGGATCATTCCTGCACAGTACTTGTGTGTATGTAAGGGTATGGTGCTAAAATACACTGCACGATGAAAGCTTTTCTTTTTTTTTTTCTGAGTAACATCAATCAGAGGTGGCTGGATGGTTTCCCTGGGAGATGAGAAAGTTTGAGGAGTTCTGCTTAATACATCTGGAGAATTCTGGGAAGTTTTCAATCCAAATGAAAGGGTCATATGCTATTTGACCTATTTATAACTATTGGTCAATTTTGTAAGGTGAGCAGGTGCTGCAGCTGGTGATGGAGCACAAGGTGGTAAAAAGTAACAAAAAAACTTATAGTTCACTTTCGGTGGAAGCATTTTATTGAAATATTTTAGCATGTTGGGAATACACGCATGTTATCATCAATTGATGAACTTTGATGCACTTAAATTGGAATAGTCAGTCACGTAACAAGTGCATGTATGTTATTAGGAATGCTATGAACTACTATACATGTTTCCTGTTAAGCACAGCAATTTATATGAAGTAAATATATAGCACATGTAATTTTTGGGTTGTATTTATTTTAAGTGTATTTAATTGTACACAGAGGTTATTTCAGATTATGCAGCAGTATATTTGCTATACACATGTTCTTGATGTGGGAACACACGTCAATGCAGGTAGCAATCAAATATAATAGTAGTTTATTTTCGTTAATACGGTGGTAACGGGAGATTTTCTTTCTTTTTGAATTTGTAGGTTAGCTTGAACTGAGATCAGGGAATTATCAAAGCATTCAAGGCTACTGCTAGAGGATCCTTGGACCTGGCTACAAACAAAAGGTGGCTTGCTGTTGAATCTGGAGGTAAGGTTTACACCCAGGGTCATATTGGTTGTTCATTGTCCTAGTCCAGTTAGCTGCACGTTCACACTGAAAGTGGAGGGCATCTAAATTTATCTGCAGAATCACTGAAGACGTTCATTCTATCAAAAAGTACTGTCAGATGTTTGTTCAAGACTGAGATTCTGAAGGGTCAACAACCATGATATACCACTTATTTGTCAAACTCTATCCAGTGGGGGGGGGGGGGGGGGGGAGGGGGAAGGGGGGGGAAGCCATCCAGAGCAGTGTGCCTGAGCTGACAGGGAGGACTGTTAGTAAACAAAGCAGTCCTCCTCCCTGTCGGAGATGCTCGGTAATCACCGAGCTGGTCCCGATGCTTGACAGCTGCGGCCTCGAATGGTGGCGCGGGTAGGGCTCGCGCGCGCCCCCTACCCCAAAAAAAAAATATATACATTATACACACACACACACACGTGATTTTGTGCACCCCTGCCATCCTGTAGCTGTATATCTGCTATAGTGCGGTCGGGAAGCGGTTAAGGCAAGAAATATTAAGTGACAGAAGTATAGCATGTATTTAAAATATTGTTTGGTTCTTTTTTTTTTTGGACCTGTAACTTATGATTAAATCTTGCTGAGTTAGGCTGTGGGCAGTGGATAGGTTGTGTAATGGTCCTATAGAGTAAATATAACATGTTACAATAGCAGTCAGGGCACTGGCTTGTGGTTTCTTGCTTACACCCAAACACGACATGGACAGAAGAGATAGAAAGCCAGCAACTCATTCTTCCAAAAATCATGCTTTTATCATTGCAGGGGCAATACAGATAATACGAAGGCTTACATGTTTCAGCCTATCGCCATAGCCATGTCAACTGTAGACAGAGGAGATAGAAAGCCTTTGTCCACAACTGACAAAAAGGCAAGTGAATGTAACCCAAAATATAAACGTAGTAAACTTTCAAGGCAAAGGAAACATGTTTCCTTTAAGGAGTAAGTTGTTAAATGATCTTTAACAGCACATTTGCCATAAAATTAAAGATGACTCCATTGCTACTTAAGCCATTATGATGGGAGCAGTCAAAGCAGGAAACACAACAATAAATCCACTAATAAGGTAAATGACTTGGGGCCTATAAATACTCAACAGAACCTGTGCTAGCCTGTCATTTCCTCAGTTCATTCTAAGACCTCTCCTTTGTTTTACTTTAACATTTGCTTTCGTCCATGACTAGTATTGTCTATGAGATATAAATTCAGTGCTTTAAATCTGCCTTGCAGCTGTATACATTTTTACATGCTTGGCATAAACATTCTTTTTGAAACAGAAAGAGTACGCAGAGGTGTTTAAACATATGACTGACATTCAAAAAAAGGTAACTTACGGTGAGGTTCATGAAACTGAGAAATTTTTGAAGCATTTCGGTCATTATTGAAAAATCTCCATCTGGTAGATGGCTCCGTACAGTAGTCACATTAATCTAACAAAGGAGAGAGAGACATAATTAAACGCAAAGAGCAGGCACTGTTGCCAAGTAAACTTTATTAATGCAGATACATTACAGTAAAGAAAAGCAAAAATAGCAAAAAACATATGAGGGAAAGAGACAGATATAATCTCAAGAGAAAGCAGAATGCAAAAGGAAATAAACTGCCATATAACAAATCAAATTCTGAAAATGTAAGGAACCTAAAGTGTCAAACCCACATGTTTAAAAACGATCAAAAAATGCTGTTTACATGCTGTTCATACTCATTTACTATGAGATTCATGTTCTATATTCTGCAAAAAAAAACATGGTTACTCCTGCTGTTTTCTGTCAGCCCTTCTGTCTATGTCCCCAATGCAGTTGGATTGTGCAAAGCATGTTAAGTTTTCAGTGAGTTTCTACCCTGAGAATTTCCTCCAGATTACATCTGAACAGCTCATGTGACTATAGAATCATACATGTGGGTGTATACACTCTGGTAAATAACAGCCCACTCCCTTCCTCCTCCATGCCCACTAAACACAGTATGGGTGGGATAGCACATCTTGATTGATGGAGGTTTCACCTGCCATTCTAAGATACAAGCTGGGGGGGGGGGGGGGGGGGGGGATGACACAGCCTTTGACTGGGATAAATCCGCCCACAGCATGTTATTGCCAAAAAATATATATATTTGAAATGAAATGTATTATTTGTATGACAATTTAAACAGTTTAATCATAATTATTTTTACTCTGTATTCCAAAACCTTTTTTTTTTTTTTTTTACTTTTTACCATGTGACCAGTGAGGACTAGAAGCTCCTCCTGCTACTGTTTCCCTGAAAGAGCTGGGTCATGTGACAGCTGTATAATACTTAAAAATGTGCTTACTAAACTAATTACAGTGCCATCATCCACATACAGAAAGGATTAAATGTGTTTAGCATCACTTTAAGAAACCTCACTTTGTTCACTAGATCTATTATCCATCCTTATTTGAAATGCTGGTCTCAAAGCAGTATAAAAACCAAACATACAATATATAGTCCAACCTTTCGATGTGGTGGCTGCATTAGTTTTTCTTTTTTTGGCTTATTGTACCTCTGTTTTCACCTGGTGATCTGGCCAGTAACACACATCCAGTATTAGCGTAACCCTACCATTGATGAAGATGTACAGGGACACAGCAGGCAGCAACATTGTTAATCTAGAGCAGTGGTTCTCAACCTTTCTAGCGCCGCGACCCCTTAATACAGTTCCTCATGTTGTGGTGACCCCCAACCATAAAATTATTTTCGTTGCTACTTCATAACTGTAATTTTGCAGTAGGAGGAATAGTGCCACGTCATTGGTGTCATTGGGATGAATAGTGCCCCATCATTGGTATCAGTGGGAGGAATAGTGCCCCGTCATTGCTGTCAGTGGAAGGAATCGTGCCCCGTCATTGCTGTCAGTGGGAGGAATAGTGCTCCATCATCGGTGTCAGTGGGAGGAATAGTGCCCCATCATCGGTGTCAGTGGGAGGAATAGTGCCCCATCATCGGTGTCAGTGGGAGGAATAGTGTCCCATCATCGGTATCAGTGGGAGGAGGAATAGTGCCCCATCATAGGTGTCAGTGGGAGGAGGAATAGTGCCCCATCATAGGTGTCAGTGGGAGGAGGAATAGTGCCCCATCATTGGTGTCAGTGGGGGAGGAATAGTGCCCCATCATTGGTGTCAGTGGGGGGAATAGTGCCTCATCATTGGTATCAGTGGGAGGAATAGTGCCCCATCATTGGTATCAGTGGGAGGAGGAATAGTGCCCCATCATTGGTATCAGTGGGAGGAGGAATAGTGCCCCATCATTGGTATCAGTGGGAGGAGGAATAGTGCCCCATCATTGGTATCAGTGGGAGGAGGAATAGTGCCCCGTCATTGGTATCAGTGGGAGGAGGAATAGTGCCCCGTCATTGGTATCAGTGGGAGGAATAGTGCCCCGTCATTGGTATCAGTGGGAGGAATAGTGCCCCGTCATTGGTATCAGTGGGAGGAATAGTGCCCCGTCATTGGTATCAGTGGGAGGAATAGTGCCCCGTCATTGGTATCAGTGGGAGGAATAGTGCCCGTCATTGGTATCAGTGGGAGGAATAGTGCCCCGTCATTGGTATCAGTGGGAGGAATAGTGCCCCGTCATTGGTGTCAGTGGGAGGAATAGTGCCTCGTCATCGGTATCAGTGTGAGGAATAGTGCCCCGTCATCGGTATCAGTGGGAGGAATAGTGCCCCGTCATCGGTGTCAGTGGGAGGAATAGTGCCCCATCATCGGTGTCAGTGGGAGGAATAGTGCCCCATCATCGGTGTCAGTGGGAGGAATAGTGCCCCATCATCGGTGTCAGTGGGAGGAATAGTGCCTCATCATTGGTATCAGTGGGAGGAATAGTGCCCATCATTGGTGTCAGTGGGGGGAGGAATAGTGCCCCATCATTGGTGTCAGTGGGGGGAGGAATAGTGCCCCATCATTGGTGTCAGTGGGGGGAGGAATAGTGCCCCATCATAGGTGTCAGTGGGGGGAGGAATAGTGCCCCATCATAGGTGTCAGTGGGGGGAATAGTGCCCCATCATTGGTGTCAGTGGGGGGAGGAATAGTGCCCCATCATAGGTGTCAGTGGGGGGAGGAATAGTGCCCCATCCTTGGTGTCAGTGGGGGGAGGAATAGTGCCCCATCCTTGGTGTCAGTGGGGGGAGGAATAGTGCCCATCCTTGGTGTCAGTGGGGGGAGGAATAGTGCCCCATCCTTGGTGTCAGTGGGGGGGAGGAATAGTGCCCCATCCTTGGTGTCAGTGGGGGGGAGGAATAGTGCCCCATCCTTGGTGTCAGTGGGGGGAGGAATTGTGCCCCATCCTTGGTGTCAGTGGGGGGAGAATAGTGCCCCATCCTTGGTGTCAGTGGGGGGAGGAATTGTGCCCTATCGTTGGTGTCAGTGGGGGAGGAATAGTGCCCCATCGTTGGTGTCATTTGGGGGAGGAATAGTGCCCCATCGTTGGTGTCATTTGGGGGAGGAATAGTGCCCCATCGTTGGTGTCAGTGGGAGGAATAGCGCCCCATCATTGGTATTCATGACACCAATGATGGGGCACTATTCCCACTGACACCAATGATACTTACCTTGCAGACCCCTGCTCCAGCCTGGGCTCGCTCGCTCCCTCCCTCTCCCATGGTACCGACACTTACCTGTCAGATGTCTTCCTTCTCCGGCCGCTCTCCTCCTCTTCACTCGCTCGATCTTCGCGGTGCCACTCGGCTCCTCCTCTCCAAGCTCCACCTCCTTGCCGGTGATTGGCCGCCTGTGTGCCTCTCCTGAGCTACAGTGCCGGCGGCCAATCACAGACGAGGATTGATCTCGAGGTGTGTCCAGATGACAGGGGCGGCATGTCATCCCGCCCACACACCTGGAGACGGCGGTGGCGGGCGGCGAGGAGCGGTTCTCGGTTCCTAAGACCATCGGAAATATGTGTTTTCCGATGGTCTTAGGCGACCCCTGTGGAAGCGTCGTTCAACCCCCAAAGGGGTCGCGACCCCAGGTTGAGAACCGCTGATCTAGAGGGATGGTAGTGTTATATGAGCTAGCAGATATAGATACACTAGCAAACTGAACGAATACTCCAGCTCACACTGCAGTTACAGCAACAGTTTGTTTCTCTCGAAAGTAAGGATAGGGAAATCCATTCAGTTTCTTTCGATCAGCCCACTGGTTGATCAAAAATAAAACCCAAAACAGAGTGTATGGAGCCTAAATCTACATCTCCCAACTTGCAATTAGAAGCTGACACCATGTGTAGCTACTCCCTACTGGGCTGTCACTAACAGTAGTTAATTATATCAGCTCTAACAATGATCACGTGCAGGCTGGAGGTTTCTAAACAAAAAAAAAAAGTGTGCCTTGTAGCAATCGTGCACACAGAGATGGACGCGGTCATCCATTTTGCTCCAAAACCCTCCATCTTGTATCTCTCTCTCCCTCTTCCTTCATCCCCCCTCCCTCTCTGTTGAGTGACATGTGGTCTGGATGAGGCAGAGGTCACAGGCAGTCAAGCTCAGAGGGAGGGCTCCAGGGCTATAAAATCCTAACCTAGCTGGTGCCTAGATGTCTGTTAGCTGCTCAATCTGGGATATCGTAAAACCATAAACCAAGCCCTCACTGAGCTTCAAAAGACATTCCAGCTAGCTGTGAAACAGACTTACATTTAAAAACCCAGTTTTCCATACAATTTTATATCTCCAAATAGGAAATAATTGCACAAACATGGAGCACATATTTTGGATGGCTCACTTTAATACAAATCGCCTGATATATTACACCCCCTAGATGACAGCTCCAGGAGAGCAGAAAATGACATCTCCTTAATCGTCCTAGCAGGTATGTCATATTTCATATGTAGACATTCAGCAGATGATATTACTGCGTATTAGGAAAAGTAATCTACCCGTATAATTTGTGAGGGCTTTGGTCAGAGCCCGTGCTTCCCGCCTACAACTCCCTCCCCAAATGAGGCGATTGGCTCTCTGCTTCAGGGAGACACCCTGCTGAGCTCCTAGAAAAAGGCGGTTATGCATGTAGCTAAGCTGAGTTGAGCTAAGTTGAAGAAATCTCCCTTTTAACATCAGGAACCAACTTTGGGAGATAAGGTGCCCTTCTGCTCTGAAACGTGAAAGCCGCTTAAACCAAGGCTTTTGGCAAGTACTTTATCTAAATTCCTTTCTGTTACCTATTTGCTGTTTTATTGCTCTCTGTATATTTATAAAATACATATTGGCTACATATTTTTTCTGTAAATATTTTTATTGCACCATTTTGACCTTTTAGTAATAAATCTTTCTGAAAGTGTTGAACTGTTTCTAAAGCTCTTTAATGCAAACTAAGAACCCCTGTCTCTGAAGAGCGCTACTGTGTGTGTGTGTGTGTTTTTTAAACTTCTGTATATCTCTGCCTGCAGTGACAGTGGTATACAGATGCTTATGCAAACAGTGTTAT